CCTAAGGTAGATGAGACAGTTTCAGTAATCCTGTTCCTAACACTGAAGGAGACCATTAATCAAATGAGTCCAAATATGAATAGAAAACAGTGCAATTGAATGGAAAATAATAGGTATTCAAAAGAACAGCCATGATTATTTTCAAGGAAGAAATTGTCAAGGACTGAGAAACAGATGGCTGAAAGTGATAGATGGAGACACATTCTCCTATGCAAACTAACAGACTTAATTAATTACTCAAGTCACATGGTATTATGGAATGACATTAATGATCCATAATAAAAACTGACAGTGGTGCCTTATCAGCTCCCTTTAAAACAAAACAAAAGCAATGATTACAAAAAGAACATGTTTACGTCCTACAGAGGCAACCCACAGACCACAAATACCTCTTTTAGTATTAGTTTGACTTCCAACACTTTCCCATCAATGTTAATTTAGAAAAAATTATGGAACTGTAAAACTGTAAACAAAAGCATTCTCTCATCACATTTGCCTTAACAGATTTACTAAAGCAATATTCAGCTAAATTAAGACTGTACCTTAACTATCTCCTCGATGAAGCAGACATGTGACACGGGATCTCTCTTCTTTGCCAACACTTTCTGCAAATGCTGCACCTGTAAGAAGGAGTTTTTTGAGGGGGAAAAGTGGCATCTAAATCCTTAGGTCCATAACTGCATGAGTAGACAAAGATGAATGAGGTGCTGAGTACCTGTCCACAAGCAGCACAGATCTGATCCATGAGTTTCTCCATGTTGGTCCAGAGAGCTGCTCGAAAAGCTGCTGTGTTCCCAGGGGTTGGCATAGCAGCTCTACCAGGGCCACCTACATGGTGTTTTAAAAACACACATCAACACATTGCAGCTTTCACACGTGACAATTGAAATATTAGAAATATACATCTCCATGCACTTTGACAGACTTTTGTTTTTTTAATCAGAGCAGCCTAAAACACCTTCAGAACAGAGTGCTGTGAACAGCCTCAATTGTTTCCACTGAGAAGTCAACTGAACTCTGAGGTTCAGTGGGGATACTTCAGTGTTCACCACTCTTACCTGCTCTGTAAGTTCAGACCTCCACAGAAACACCAAGGAAATGCCAGTGAGCAGTTTAGAAGGATGTAATAGCAAAGTGAAATGGCAAAGAGAGTAGTTCTGAGAAATACAGGTGTTCCCAGTATCTAAACCAACACTTTTATTGCCAGGAGCTGCATTTCTTTATGATGCCACTGATTATGGTTTTGGACCCACAGCTTGTTGCAAAAGTTTTAAGAAAAATTGTTAAATGTTCATATTGCCAAAGTTCCAATTTTCCTGCCCACCCAGTTCCTCAGGATTCTTTGGTATCTCAGCTAACAGAGAACTAAATGTTCAATAGTGCAACATTCCTTCACATTGAATATTCTGCTTTGAAACAATTTCTGTCTGACAAAAGCATCACAATGTCATTTCAGTCTTCTGCCACTGCCTACAAATGATTTCTACCCTTGATCCTCCCACCAATACCAATAAAGCAACATTTGGATTCATCTTTTTCCATGAGAAACTGCTAAGAAAATGCTGCAAAGTTCCAAACTAATGAGGATAATTTTCTGGGCAAGTCAGGAAAGAGAGACAGGGAGGAATAAAGGAAAACCTCTGAGTCCAGTAACACACAGACTCAATTTTGGCTTACAGAGACAACTTGGATGATTTCTAAGAGATGCCTACTCCCACCCTCTACTGGTTAAAGCAAGAAGGGAAACATTCCTGTAACAGGCTTGGCTATGAGAGTTTCTTCCATTTGACAACATACTGTACTCCTGTCAAAAAAAAATAAATCAGTTACCATTCTCTGTAAAACAAGTATCTCACCTCTGGTAGCAGTCTGAGATGGTTGGCTCAACACTTGGATATCCAAAGCATTCTTTATGTTCTCCTCCAGGACTGTGCAGTATCCATCCACTACGTTAGCAATGGTATCCTTCAAAGTCCCAAGGTTATGGAAAACCTGAAGAGCAGTTCCCACTTGAGTAGGATTCTGGGAGAAAGAAGATATTCAAAAATAATGATTATCTTTAAGTATATTATTGGGGTGTCTTATCCACGATGAGACAACGTTTTAGTGGTAAATTCATCTTTAAGTTGAGTCTGCTAATTCTTGTCCTTTAAGTAACTGGCATCCTTGCTGCATAACAGTGTAAAGGAGAGGATTGGTTTCCTTTAACTGATCAGCAAGGCTTTGCTAAGTTTCCTTTGGCGAATACGAAGAATGGAAGAAAAACAGGAACTGGAAGCACTGCTGGCAATATCTAACCTGGGGTGGGTTATTGGTGATTGATCCAGTAATTCTGGGGTTAGTTACAAGACAGCTGTGTTCAGCTGTGGTGCAGCTAGTACTGTTTGAACATGCAGTGTATGTTACAGTACTGTCAGTTAAATGCTGAATAGCTAATTAAATGTGATATAGGCTTAAAAACAAAGAGAAGCAGAAGGAAGTAGGTAAAGCCCCTGCTACTGACTACTGCAGAATTCACATTTCTATTTCTACACTTCCAATGCTGACAATAACTTCATCTTCCTCACAGAAGAATTAAGATTACAAAGCAATGCAGTGATTATTGCCAAAGCCCAGAAAGAAAAAGAAAAGAAACACTCAACACAAGAGAGTGAAAACTATCCAAAAACTGTTCAGGTCCACTGTTTAAGAGTCCTTTGATTAAGATTAAATCTGATGATAATTCCACTGAGCAACACTAAACACTGGCATGGGTGCTATTTAGCAAGAGAAAAGCCTCAAATTATTGCCTTTGGAAACTAAGCACTGTCATCCATACACTGAATACTGCTTTTTTAATTAGCACTCCCAGGCAATTAGTGGAGGGGGCGATCAGTTGATCATACACACATTAGAGACACAGCCTTTTGCAATTTTTCTTTGTGACTTCTGCCAGCAAGAAAGAACATGGTCTGGCAGAAATCCTGGTGCCCAGACTGGACAGAAGCATCCTGAGCCCACAGGCACTTCCCACTGCAAACCCCACGTCGACTCTGGCAGTGAGACCTCACACCATTGCATCCTTCCCAGTCGTGGCTGCAGCACCAGAGACACTAACACCAACACAACTCTGCTTCACCTTCCCCAGGTCATGGCTTTTTTCCAGAGTCAAAGGAACAGGGTGTGATCATCTGCCTTCCAACTTGCACTGATACCACAGCAGTCAAGCCACAATGCAGCTGCTGTGCTGAGGCTTCACTTGCTGGTACATCCACCTACTGCAACAGGTTTTCTGATCCATTGGGGAACAAAGTGTTCTCCCCAAACCTAATGTTTCAGAGGTCACAGCGTGATAATTACACACCCATGTCACTCTTTCTAGGGTTTCTGCAAAGATCAGAACCACAGCTGATGCAAAAAGGTCCTATCCCATCTTCTTCCCCAGCTCCAGTGAGGAGTTCCCAGGTTTAGTGTAAAGCAAAGGAATATTATGGTTTGCAGACCTTATACTAACTGTACTGGTTTCTTTTTCCAAACAGTGTGGGAGTTAATGAGCATTCCCAACACAGTATTACGGGTCTGGGACTTGTAGGTTTAGTTTTTTGACAACTGGGTATGCTGCAAAATTTCTAAGCATCCTGTGGGTGTGCTTGTGGAGGTGGGAAAGTAAGCCATAAAGACTGGAAGATTAATGGGATGTCAGAAAATGAAAAGTAGTATAATGCAAGGAGGGAATTTGGGGACAGAATGAACAAGAGAAAGAAAATATAAATGGGAAGAGGACGTGGAATAGAATGAAAAGGCTCTGGAAGGAAGGAAGAGAATGAAATTGAAAGGAAGAAAAGCAAAGATTAGAAAAGACTCACATCATTTACCAGTTTATTTCCTAAATTGTTCTGATTTTTACAGAGTACTTACACAATGATGAAACCAGGTAGAGAGTCAGTAATATAAAATCAATACCTTACTACTATAGTAAGAGAACTCAACCAGGTTTCAGTCAGGCTCTAAGGTTCATATACTAAATAACAAAAACGTAGAACAGCATCAAAAGGTGAGCTGGGCACTCTCCAGCCTTGAATAATCACCAGCCAGACACTTCTTTCCCTGACAAAAAAAGGCAGTACAGGCACAAATAATTGGAGGCAAAAGATGAATCTCAGAGCTCCCACATCATAGTTTAGCAAACTAACTCTGCAGCTACTGGTCAAGAAAGACACAAAAATATGCTCCGATAGAGCCTGTGCTGTATTTCAAAAGAGGTTTTTAGCCACAAGTTGTCAGACAATTCCTTCTCAAGTTATGGCTAGTTAGGGAATAACCAAAACACATTGTGAAAACCTGCTCTTCACTCAAAGACTCTTTCAAATTTAGTGCCAAAGTTAAAATCAGAATGGCACAAAGATTCTGCAGGTGGCCTATTTCTTACTTGCTTTAAATTGTGGGCACAGCCACATGCTCCCAGCTCATGTATTCACCTTGTATAACAGGAATTAGAGATATATCAAATCCCTGACAATGTACAGCAAAGTGTCTTCTTTTTTTTGTTTCATGCATAGTAATTTTCCTGCCTTAAAAAACAGGTTTTGTTTTATATGCCCCAGACAGGCTATGTAAAGTCCATTGTTGGTTTATGACTAATCCTAAGAGAATTGCAATTTTTATGCACAGATAGGTTCTAGGTTTAAACAATATGTTAAAAAAAAAAAATGAAGCATCTCTTGGGACAAAAATTATGTGGAAAGAAAATGTTGAAAAGCAGGAAGGAAACAAATGATTGCACCTTCATGCTTGTATACACATACCAAAATCAAACTGTTTATCATTAACACACACTGGAAAAAAAGCTGAGAATCAGCACTACAGAATGTGCCACTGCCAACAGCCTTTGTTGATAAGAATTTGTCCCTAGCATTTTCCTTCTCTCTGAGAAAGCTTAAAGCTAAGATTCAAGAGACTACCATGATTTTTATCAAGTGGAAAGCACAGATTCAAGGTTAAAAAGAACTGGCTACAACAGTGATTTACACTGGAAAATGGAATCACACCAGAGAATAATATTCAGAACATCTGTCCAATAGGGGAAATAATATAACTGTTCTTGAAGTGGAATTCAAGGTTTATTAGCAGTATTTTATACCAAGTTGTCTGCTCCTGCAAGCAACTACACTTAGAAAGTGTTGTCCTTAGAATCTCTGTCCATAAAATCATACATTTCTTTTTGTCTGAGTGTCTTATTTCACAAATGAAGACTCAGAAGTAGTAGTTTCTACCAAACACAAAGCAAATAGATTCTACTATGTAAACATACATGGAGAGTTAGAGCAACAGCAAGACTCAATCCTACTTCTCACAAGGTAATGTCTTACAACAGAAAACCCTTTTACATAATAAATCAGCACAGTAAAACATTTTTGTGCATATGCCATAAACTTTAAGCTATGGCAATTAAGAGAGTAGGGGCCAAAGAAAAACAGAACAGCATTTAGCAATATGCTAGCAATGCAGTCTAAAGTGCATAAACACAACCACACACAAGTGAAATAAACCCATGACCCCACAGACTGTAGGCCTACAACACTACCTACTCAAAGATTAACTACAGTGATCTTCAGATTGCAAAAATTGCAGTGAATCAGGGAGTTAAGGAGAGATGGCATTAAGTCCACCAATAATACTCTTCTCCATTCAAAGCACTCCTCCATCTGGCACGTCACAACATAATATGTTACAGATACATGGGAATTAAATTCCACAAATTTAAGAGCTTAGGAAGACTCAGTGAATCATCAGCTCAACACATGAAGAAAATAATAGAAAAATCAGCTTGCTCAAAAGCTAATTCAACCATGAAACAACTCTCACAAATATTTTAGAACATCAAAGCTTCTCAGCATCCACCAGACAACACATTAAATAGCTTGGTCAGAAGGGTGAGATCAGTCTCCACTTGGAAAAAAGGCATGGATATTTCAATCTACGTTTTAGCAAAACATCCTTATTCAGCAGCAGCTATGAAGAGAAGTTCATACCAGATGCATTTTCTCATTTTCTCTATCAATGAGAACTGTTCATTTTATTAACATCATTTTTGATTCATTTTATCCCATCCCATTTGGTTCTGTAGACAATCATGGACAAGAAGACAAATAAATGTCATGCAGTCATTAGTATGAATGTGTTTCTTTCACAATTATATCACGTGGCTGTTTACAAGAACAGGTGATGGACTCAATAACCCAGAAGATGTTGTCCAGCCCAGCATGACAGTTACAGTCATTCTGCAGAGCAGAACCCCATTTGGTCACTTCCTTTCCCACAAAGATAATAACCATGTGAAGACAAAACAGAAATGGCACTACAGACTTATATAAAAACATATCATATTTCTAATTTGAAAATATCTCCTAGGATGGAACCGAGGAATTTTTTTCTGTCAACTGACAACACTGCAACTAATTTATAATGCCCAAGATTGTAGTCTTTTATTTTATGATTGCCACTAGTGTTATCAGAGCAATTTTCTGTAAGCATGGCTAAAAAAAGACCAATATTCTTTTTCATCATCAGAAATGCAGCTTGGCCAAGCAAGCCTGCTCCTCACAAGACAGTGTGGTGATGACACTGAGCTAATTTGGGGACAGGAAGATTCCTAGCATAAGGTTGAACCAAAAATAAGAAACCTGAATTGACAGGCAAAACTAATTGGCTCAATGGCTCCAAACACAGTTTCCAAACTCACACTCCACCTTCTCTGGCTATGGGATTCACCATGTGGGTCTTTCTTCTTCAAACAGTTCTGTCTTAGGGAACTTCACATCAGTATTTCTTTATCCAGTGCAGATCTGTCCCTAAGGGTTTTCTGCAGGGTTTTCACCTGTCCAGACTGTCAGCTTCTTCTCAAATGAAGATGTGTTAATTGGCAAAAATATTTATGCTCAGTACTATCTGTGACAATTACTAGTACTTTCATAAAGGAGAAGTGTCACAACTGTAATTAATTGCTAACTTTCATGCAGTTAAATTTCACAAGTACCTGTGCC